TGGCTGCCAACTAGACATTGAGCCATTGATTACTACTCTCCGAGCCAGTTTTCTATCCACCTTACATCCAGCCCGTACTTCCTTAGCTTGCATATGAAAATGCTGTTGGAATAATATCAAAAGGCTTGCTAAAATCAAGGTACACAACATCTACCGGTCTCCCCGCATCCACACAGCCAGTCACCTTGTCATAGAAGGCAGTCAGGTCGGTTAGGCATGACTTGACCCTGGTGAGTCCATGCTGACTGTTCCTAATCACCTCTTTCTCCTCCAAGCATTGGCGACACATAGGGGGTGCACGTGGGTGTACATACACCTCCTGAGATCAGCTGTGCACCCCACAGAAGTGCCAGCTGTGAAACTGGTTGGTGATTGGCTGCTGGGGGATCCCCGCCCCCTGTTGGCGATCTGGTGCTCCCCCAGACTCAGGAGGCACCATTCACCCATGCCTCCAAGTGCTTAGAAATTGATTCCTTGAGGATCTGCTCCATGATTTTTTCTAGGGAGGCTGTAGTCTGTAGTTCCCTGGATCATCTTTCTTCCCTTTATTAAATATGGGCACTGTGTTTGCCCTTTTTCAGTCATCTGGGACATCTGATCACCATGAGTTTTCAAAGATGTTTCAGTAGTTCCTACAATAAAATACTAATGGGTTAAATCTGATATAAGCAATAAGCAGGGGAAAATGTGTTTTTAGCAGAGATTTGAAATGAACGGGGGTAATGAAAGTGGGAGGCATAGGATCCCAGTTCTCTCTTCTGTCCAAGCTATGCTTTGTGTGGTACCAAGACTGATGGGGAGACAAAGCCATCTTTATGTTGCCTCTTTGGACCAGGTCTGTGGCTCAAGTTACAACAGCTCATGGCTACTCTAATTTTCATGCATCTGCCCACAGCTCTGTGGGACCATTTTAGCAGCTGGCAATAGTTTTTGACTTGCCCCATTTCTTCTGGCCCCAGTTCTGGGAGGAGATCAGGGTAAAATTATTAGCTTTCTCCCCTTTCCCCACCACTTAGGAAATTACCAGTCTATAAAAGTATTTTTTAGTGGGCAGATCTGCCTGGTTTGTCCATTGGCATCCAGAGCCATGATGCCAAGAAAGCTGGGTTTAAAGTGATTGTTCTGCATGGGAAAAGATGGGAAGGGTGATGGGTCTAGCTCAGCTTAGCAAAACTAAAGAAATGAAGGCTATTTTGAACTGTATCTTGTAATACGTGTTGGTGAAGATATGTTGTCATGTTATTCTGAAGACCGGAGAAGGCAGAAAGTAACCCATTCTTCTACCTCCTCTAAGTCTGAAGCAGTGGTGGTCCACTGGATGAATGCATCTTGCCCCTTATGGACAGTTAAACTAAATTTCCAAGATGCTCAGGCTGAGGATATGCCCATGCTCACATTGCTAGATGGGATGAGTATCCTGATCAGATGGGAAGCAGATCCTGATATGGAAAGAGTTAAGAGCCCCTGGACCAGTTGGTGTGGGTTTATGATTCCACCCGTCTAATCTTTCATGTTTTACAGCGATGCTCATTGCCTTGTACTATTATTGCATGCTACAAATGCTGTGCGAGAGCATTCAAATGCAAAGAAAAATGGTTCCCATTTGCTTTGGAGTTAATCATCACAAAAGCACTTCAATAAACATTAGATTTTGTGAAAACCTTTTTTATTGCCAAGCCTCCTTTTTGGGGCTGAACAGCCTCACAGCATCCCTTTAAATTCTGTGTCTGCCTGCTGCAGTTCTTGATAATGGCCTGGAGGGTAATGAAACATCATATTTCTTGTTCTTTTTTGTAATCAGTCCATTAAACATGCCTGTAATTCATGTTTTGAAGCTATTTCTTTGTTTAGCCTCTTTGGCTAGGTTAGCGTGTGTGCATGTGTATGTGTGTGCGTGTGTATGTAGCTTTGGGTGTTTCCTGCTTTTTGCTAAGTAAACCAAGACTAAAAATACTAAATTACCTGTGTTTGTGTACAGAGGCACAGCAAAGCTGAAACACTGACTAAAGATGTATGGAGTTAAGAGCAACTGGGGTTTTTACCTGTGTAGCCCTTAGTATGTGTTGAGGAATCTCAGAATGCCTATGGGGCTGTGCTAGCAATGCTGTGGGTTTATAAGCTGGTCCAGAATGGAGAACTTTGTTCATTTCTCAAAGTGAGCATTTTAAAAAAGTTCTGAGATGCTTTGTTAGTGGGGAGGGCTGGTTTCATTTCTTGTAGTTTTTTTTTTCTTTGTTTTTTCATTTTTAGCTTCTAGCTTGGACCAGAACTGGAAATACCGAAACAATCCTTTTCTCATATAGTTTTCAGACCAAGTTTGTACATTAATGAGGTCTGAAGAAGCTTTCGGGGATGCCCCTGATATTAAGGGGTTTCTTGTCTGTGCTAAACTCAACTCCAGACCATCGCTGTCTCATTTATTTTCTGTTCACCTTGTAGTAGTGTTTAGAATGTGTTGCCTGCTTTCCAAACACAAAGGAGGAAACAATCTCTGCTATGAGTTATGCTTTTTAGGCTACTGCTAATTGGACTTATCCATTCCATTCACAGCAAACCTGTTTGGCAATTTAACTCAGCTTACATTTTGACCATCGAAAAATGGAAAGATCACTTTTCCTCTCTAGAAGTTGTTGTTTGGTCTTTAACAGTTCCTGAGCATATATCTTATGTTAATGGGGAAGCAGGGGCACAGGAAGCAAAATGATGTCAGTAGGGTTGACAGAAGAGAGAACTTTCATCATTACATAAAATTTCTTTGAGAATTATGACCCAATTTTAAGTGCTCAGAGAGTGCTCCACGAAGTCAGTATTTTCGTAAGCCCCTGAATAAGATGATTGTCCTTAAAAGTCCAAGGAATGAGTTATCTTTGCTTTAGTCCAGTATTTGATCATACATATGAGAATAACAATTGCCTTGCCTACCTACTGTATTTTGTTATGGAAGGATTTTGCCCCCACGGTACTCATCCCACAACGTCCAAGAAAATAGGTTATCTGTAAGGATTAGCAGTGATGGGATTGTTTCCCAGGGCTGTAGGGCACCTACTTAGTCACTTGTGTTGTTACAGTTCAGGGGCTATGGTGGCTTCCACTCTACTTCACTAAATGGGCTTGGGAGGTAGAGCAGGATGATGACATTTCAGCCACAGGAGGGATGCAGTAGAATGCAGTTATTTCCAAGGATACAAAATGGCAACTGTATAGTACCCAGTGCAAAAGTTTAGGACAGGTGGGAATAGCTGCTGTTTTCCAGATTAAAACTACAGGAAATTTAAGGTATAGAGAAAGGGCCAAATTCTTCCCAAGATGGGATTTGATCAGAGAAATAGGGCTTAACATACTGCCTAATGGTCCTTCAGATGCTCAGCTGGTTAGAAAATTGCCATATATGCTCACTCGAAAGGCAGCAGAAGCAAGAAGAGACTGACGGGACACTGGGTGAGAGGTTAGTCAGCGGGAAAGACATCCACCATCTTGGTGCGTTCTCCTTATCCCTGAGGAGGAGTTCCAAGGATGAAAAGTAGGTGTCTCCATATGGGCCTGACTGATCAACAAATAAAGATACTTGATGGCCACTGAATGGAGAGATGGTACACAGAGTGTGGTGCCTAGTAATGGCTAGAAGTGTCCCAGGTGAGTAGGACCAATGCCTTATCAGTGGAAGCTGCTTTCTATGGCCAGGACTTAAAAAAAAATTGCTTGTAATTTGGGGTGCCTCAGTGTTTTGCACGCACAAGCGAGAGAGACTGTAAAGGGACTTGATTTTCAGAGGATAGATGTTAGCACTTCTTCAAAATCAGAGCGTTAAAAGTGTGTGCAGGTGGCCACAAATAAAATCACTAGATGTTTATTGGAAATCATGGCCCTTGTGTTTTATAATACAGTCACAACACTTCCATTGAGCACTAGTGCAGGGGCATGAAATAATAAGAGGAATTAAATTCTTTTTATACCAGAGCGGCTGAGGACTAGTTTTAGTTGAGTCATTTAGTAGCACATTCATATTCCTTTTTCTTTTTTTCTCTCTTATAGTTATGGAAAATGCCAGTGTAAAGTTGGTGTAACCGGCTTCAAGTGTGACCAGTGCCATGATGGATACTACAGGTTTAACAAAACCACCTGTGCACCCTGCCAGTGCAATGACCATTCCAAGAGCTGTGATGGCTTAACAGGTAAATTCCTTTTGCACACTTGGGGCCAGATTTAATGTTGGTGGGACTCTGCTGATGTCAGCTAGACTGCAGTGATGGTGTAAGTTGGGCTTTTGGACTGGAGACTTGTCGTCTGTCTTTGGTTTCTGCTAATTTAATTCATTATTCCTCCAGCCTCAGCTCCTTTATTTAGATCTTTAATTGAATTACATAGGATTTGATCTGATCCTCTTCCCATTGATGTCAATGAGAGCTTTGCCATTCACAGTAATGGCAGCAGTCCTCAGCTTTTATTGTTATGCCCAGGTGTCCCCATTGGGAATCAGCGTGCCTTCTTTTCTACATACTGTGCAAACACAACAAAACATAATGCTTGTCTTGAAGAGCTCACTCTTTTACTTTATGTTTATCCAGAAACATGTATAGTACAAGTGTTTGTTTGCTTGCTGTGGATGGCCAGGATTGCCACAAGTAACATTATAAGAGGTGGGGATGGGAGGATCTGCGAGAAATTGCTTTGCACTCATTTCCACTTATTGAATTTGCCTCATGTCTCATGTGTTCACTTTCATTGAACATTCACACAACTGTATTTCACATGCATAGATTTTCACATAGCACAGATTTGAATGTGTGTAGAAAAAAAAATCCAGAAAAAAATTTCATACTAGAAATTCACATTGAAACAATGTAACTCGTATGACCAATCTCAACTAAGCGACAGACCTGCAGGCTTCAAATTCAAACTTTCAATGATGAACTATAGAGTAAAATAAAATTTAACTGACTTTTGTGAACGAGCTTAGAAACTGACAATAAGTCCAAGGGGGTTGCAGCTTGCTGGCTAATGTTAAAAGGCAAAATTGATCAAATGAATTATTTGTTAGCCATTATCTTCTCTACCCTCATATTTATTACTGTATTGTCTGCATAGTTGTGGCAAAGAAGCAGGGTCAGTATTGATAAATCATAAAATTAATTCAAACCAGATAACACCATTGTGGCATTTGACAGGAACAAGATTAATGGGAAACAGCAAGGGTAACAGCAGATATTAAAATTTAATTCTGTTTTGGTCTGACTCTGCAGAGCATTTATTCATATATTTAACCTTAACTTCCATTTAACTCACAAGATACATTTGAAGTTAAGCATGCACTTAAGTATTTTCTGGAATTCTAGGTTGTATATATGAGCTTTTTGAGAGAGCACTATTGACTGTAAGATTGCATACTAAAAAAAGTGTGGGTGTGGGTGGAGGAGAAGGGCGTTAGAAAAGTCCTTGACCTTGCTGTTGGGTCCAGTTCTGCAGAAGTGTCAAAGGTCTGTCTGTACAGATCATATTGCAGAATTGCAGCCAGGCTGTGTTGTTGCTAACATGCCCTGTTGTGGAATACTAGAAAATGCATTTTCTTTTTCTTGCCTCTGTGTATTAGTTGAAGCAGAATGAAACACAGACAGTAAACTAGACCTGATTTCTATCGAGTGATATATGCTGATAACTCTTGGTATAAACTAGTGCCTGCACTTTTCTTGACCTCTCTGACTTGTATTAAAAAAAATGTATTCTTTGTCAATGTCAAGGTTTTATGTGCATTAATGCTGTGCTCTGGGCTCCCTCTGGTGGCTAACTGAACACCTACATACAGGTCTGTCAGGCCAGTGGTTTTCAACCTGTGGTCCACGGACCCCTGGAGATCCGCAGACTGTCTAAGGGGTCTTGTGAAAGATGACTATGATCAATCAAAAGTATGTGAATACCCACACTTACAGTTCAAAGGGGTCCATACATCCATTCAATTCTTTTAGGGATTTGCAAAGAAAAAAGTTGAAAACCACTGTATTAGGCTTTGGTCTATTGAAGAAGCAGTAGTTAGAGCAACATAAGTGGAAGTGGCTGTGTTGCTTTAGACAAGTCACTTTGCCACTGTGCCTTATGTTATTCACCTCTAGAATAAGTGGAACAACATCTACGTAACTGGAGTGCTGAGAGGCTTAATTATGCCTGCCAGGCACTTTGAGAATGGAAAGTGCTGTTAATGATTAATGCTTTTCCACAGAGAAGAAAATGAAGCCTGATGGAAAAACACATCGCATGCTTTATATGACTGAGCAGCCTACTGGTCCAGGACAGGGCAGGCATTTGGCTATTGATAGACAAAGATGCTGAAAGTGATTGCTGATAGAAGTTGGGTGTTGAACAGGCTACCCAGAAAAATGCAGTAATACCAGATTTATACTGGTGTAATTGAAAGCCTGAGCCTTAATGTTGACCAGGGCAAACCACTTCTCAGAGTTGGTTTTCCATGATTCATTCAGTCCTTGACCTCTTTCTACTGAGGTAGCCAATAAAGGGTTTCATCCATGGTAAATAGTGATAGGGTAATTTCCCCCATAAAAGATCACTGGCCATGTACCTGCCATCAGAGAAGGATCAAATATTGAAGAGAAACTTGAAATATTGAATGGAGCAAGCATCTTTAGTCATCACAGGAACTACCAACCCCTACCATATATGTAAATGAACTGGTTTTAACAGCAGTAGCCAGCCAGTTATTCATCTCCTTTTAACCTGAGGGACAGATGCAAGGAGAAATCAGACTTTCTTTGGGACTCTGTCTGCAGAATCACCATTGCACCAGGGAAGAAAGATGAAGATGAATGTAGTGCATCTGGGGTCAGACTTGCATGATGTGCGAACAACCTTGATGGATGTTATAACGAACAATATTTTGTTTGAACTAGAATCTCAACATTGACTGACTCATGGATTTTACATGCTTGATTCATGTCAATATTTTTTTCCACCTACTAAAACACAAATAGCTTAGCTCAGTGCTCTTGTGTTTGTTTATGCTGTAAATACACTGCTCTGTGCCACTGTCATTTCTCATAAGGTTGCTTTTAGTTCTTTAAGAGACTTGTACATGGGTTTTAATCAAATAAGCTTCCTTCAAGTCACCTTCGCCCTTGCTGCAATTGCAAATCTTGTTGAAGTACATGATTTTCCTGTTGATGGATGACTCTTCAAAAGGGCTTGTATTGTTAGAGCTAGAGACATTTTTTCCCTGTGTTTGCAGTAATATCAAGGTAAAATTTATAAAAGTGTTTGTGTGTACACATACACAATTCTTGCTAAAATTGTATGCCTCTGTTGCTGTTGTTAAATGACCTGTATTTTTTTTGTGTTGATTTCTTTTAGGTGCCTGTTTGAACTGCCAAGGAAATACAGAAGGAAGTCAGTGTGAAAAATGTAAGGTTGGCTTCTACAGAAGCACCCTCCCAGCCCATGAATGCCACCACTGCCCATGTTCAACTGTAGCATCTACTGGTAGCTGCCGAATAAGTAAGCCTGTTTGTGCTAAGCTAGTTAGAACAACTTCTTTCTGTGTTTTTCATAACTAAAGTTTCCTCAGAGTTGGTCATCTTGGTATCTTAGTCTAGAAGCCTTGCCTTACACTTCAGTTCCCCTGAAAAAAGCTTATTACTGGAAGTGACACATGCCAGGAAAAGCCCAGTATTTATTTAGAATAGTTTATTAGTGTTTAGGAGGGCAGCAGCACAACAGAGACCACTGGAAGGCTGCTCACTGCAGGAACTAGCTGTTTTGTGATGCAAACTTCATTGCAAAGCTCCTGGTAGCTTTCACTGATCTTTTAAAATGTATTTAAAATTTTTCAGACAAGATATTGATGCTGCAGGTAATTAGCCAGTGATACTGCCAAGGGATGAATTGTGCAGAAAATATGCAACAGACGTATGCAAATCTTAATTCCTTCTTGTATAGTAGATAAGTGGTGCAGAGACCATATGTTGTCACTTTCCGTAGGGGCTGAATTTCTCTCAAGTTATAGACAATACAGCCTGCCACAGACATACTCTATTCTTTGGTGTGCTGTAGAGGTTGTGAAGATATCTGTGCCTTAAAATTTCTGCAGTGTTGCTTTGACTGTTTAGCACTAGATGACCAGAAATGTAGCAAAGAATGGGTATAAGTATGGCTGGTGGGATGAAATTAAGAAAGGATAAGATTAAGGTGACAAATGTCCTGACACTGAGATATCTGGCTATGTAAGGAGACTCCTAAAGGTAGTGATGGCAGGTTGGTTTATTTGGGGCTTTCAGAATTAATCTGACAAAAATGCTGGAAAACATAACATAGAGATCTGACTTCCAGTAAGCAAAGAGATTGACTAGGGCCATTTTTCTCAGCTTTTTCAGGTTGGCAACCCATTACTTGAAGTTAAAAATTGTATGAGTAAAAAATGGAGGAGTAATAAAGCTATATAATTTACTTGTGTGTGTTTTGAGAGAAACAGAAAATATTCGACCTTGAGGAGTAATGCTATTCTGGGAAACGGGGAACAAGATTTGCATTGCTTTAGATGATAATAAAATGCTCAGTGTCTCATTGATTGCCTGTTGTCATCCTTTGTTAGGTTTAGATAATCTAAAAAGTTCTCATGCATCCCTAACTTCCGTGGTGTAATTGCAGTGTGCCATTTGTTTGTTGCAGTTGGTCACTCAAGACAAAAGCCTCCTGTAGTAATGATCTCGGGGTGTGGTCAGAAATAACAGTTATATAGATATAGGTAATGCCATGTTAGTCTGGAGCAGTGTTCCCTCTAAGCTGTGTGGCGTGCGTGGCCACACAAGTGTGCTCATGCTGCGTTGCCAGGTGCGTGCCGCACAGCTCAGAGGGAACGCTGGTCTGAAGTCAGGCAGAAAGCACAGTAGAGATGCACCTTATAGACTAACGGAATCAGGGATGCATGAGCATCTGATGAAGTGAGCTGTTGTTCATGAGTGTGTACATCTTTGATTCAGTTAGTCTGTAAAGTGCATCTCTACCCTTGTTATACAGACGTTACATTATACTGGTATAAAATGTTCCAGTGTAATTGTTGTTTTCATGCCAGTGTAAGTGGAGCTAAGCTGTTGCAACTTTAAACTTGTTTCAAGTTTAAAGTTACAATGGTTTATCTTGTATCTACTATATATACTGTTATAGGAATAGATGTAACCTAACAGTTAAACAGCTGATGTTTGCTTCAGGGTGGCAGGTCTTCCCTCCTCTTTTAAATTAGTTTAAAATTATGTCTATACAGAGCCTCAGTTTGCCAGCAGTTTTTTTTTTAATAGCAGTAGAAATATGTAGGATATGCAGGACTGAAAATAATAGCTTTCTTATTTAAGTTATTTGTATTTGCTCTTCTCTTTTTAGAACCTGGCCAGCATGTCCCAACATGTGACAAATGCAAAACCGGATACACTGGCCCAAACTGTAACCAGTGTGACAATGGCTATTACAATTCTGACAGTATCTGCATAAGATGCAAATGTAATGGGAATGTAGACCCAATTCAGTCACCCAGGATATGCATGCCAGAGACAGGGGAATGCATTGGCTGTCTATACCACACTGCTGGGTTTCATTGTGAGGAATGTCAGGAAGGTTATATCAAAGACCCTGAGGGAACCAACTGCACCAAGAAAGGTAAAATGTTCTCCTTATATCGGTGTCCATATATAGTGTATGGATCATATGCTTACAAGCTCTCTGAGGGAGGGGAGGGGTATTTCTTGTATTTGTTTAAGGAGGGGCATGCAGTTGATGGAGGAAGCAGTAATTAAGTCATCCATGATGGACGTGGGCACTCTTTCAAGATAGCAGCCAGAAGAGATTCTCATGTGACCATTTCTGATACGCTGTAAGTCTTGTTTTAATTAAAGAAAGCATGTTTGACCATTGTCTACATTGAAATGAGCAGAGGTGATATTTCTGACATGCTGCTAGCCTTTGGCATTCTGGAAGTGGCTCTTATGGACAATTCCCTGTACATCTTAAGACAGTGTGGGGAAGAGATCTCTTAAGTGTCTTAGCACAGAAAAACATTTGTAAAAATTCCTTTCTTGAAGTCAGCTTTCCTCTTTGTGCGAGTGTGAGGGTGTATGTGTGGGTGTTTTATAAAGGTAAAAAAAGCAACAGATTTATTTGGCTAGGGTTTGAAGGTCAGATTATCTAAATCTAGTGATTCTTTCTGGCCTAAAAATCTATGAATTGGAGATTAATTTGGGTTTTTCAGCAATTTTCTGCTCCTTGAATTGTGGCAGGAGGTATTGTGAAATGCACTGAAACCAAAAGATTCTTTCCAGTGTACATAACTGAACAAGTACATGGGTTTATGTAGCTGAGTGCAAACTCCATCACCCACTCCATACACACATTAACATTATTTTTTTTACAATAGCATTTAGCACCTCAAAGTACTAAATGAGATGTTAACCAACTGCTTAAACCAATTTGGGGGATTATCATCTTTATTTTGTGGATGCTAAAACCAAGGCATGAACCAATTAGCAATTTAGCCACAGGGGCAGAGAAAATCATAGTCACTTGGGGTTTGGAATTGACCATTACATAATATCAAGGCTTTTTAGGAATTGTCTAGGTCGTATACCCTCTCTGTGCATTGTGTCTGTGATTCTCAGGTACAAGTTGGTTGTGGTGCTTAAAGATGCCACTTTGTAAGAGTGCAGCCATGTGGTAGAAATGGCTTCTCTCACAGTGCTGCAGGAGTTGTTAGTACATTACTGAAAAGTTTAATGTCTATTTGCTTTAATTTAATATATCTCAGCCTCCACAGGGATATTAATAGCAATTTTACTTTAGTTCCCCGCACTGTAACTCACTGGGTGCATCTACATATGCAGTTAATATGCTGCAGTAAATTCTGGAGCTGTCTGAGCCAGAGTAAGCTGCTCCCAGATGCAGCATCTACACATGCACCTGGAACAGCAGCAATTTGAGCCAGGGAGGAGCAGGCTCAGGCTAGCAGGGGGCATGGGGGGTCAGCCCCAGGCTCTGGATGGTGGTGTCAGATGGCGGAGCGGCTGGCAGGAGGCAGGGGTCTAGCCCTCTGCTGACTGGGTGCAATGTGCAGCCATGCTCATGGTCCACATGTGCACTTGATTGTAGGTAAGTATTCCACGGTAAGGCAGCAGTGTCCCTGACATTACTATCTTACAGTGGAGTTGATTAGTTTACTGCGTCCTAATACCGGTGCACATTTAGATGGTGATGTTTTGTGGCAGTGCTAATTAGTCTACTCGGCAGTAAAGTACATGTGTAAATGCACCCGCTGGTTTTGTATACAAATGACTGGCATGACCTTGCTCCCCAGCATCTCATGTATTTGCACTTTCTAAAACATTTCCAATTGCACTTATCCTGCTGCTCGAATGAGCTTTGCGATTATGCTGATTTACAACACAGGAAAGCTTCCTCTCCTGCTTCACAGGGATGAGGCCAAGTGATTATTCAGCTGTCCTGTTTCATTGAGATCTGTCCTCTCTTTCATGTTAATAATTAAGAAAACCTGCAGTTTCTTTTTCATTCTTTCCTTTATGCCCCCCCCCCCCGCTTAAAGCAGTGCATAGGAGGCACCGTGTTTTATCTGATTTAGAGCCAAGGTTTTCAAAAGTAGCCACTTAATTTGGATTCCTAAGTTGTTGTCTAACTTGAAGTAATTTAAAGGGCTCTAGTTTTCAGAGGGCAGGTACTCAGTGGTGTATGGCAACCAGGATCCTTTAAGGAATCTCCAGTTGGCCAGTTTTGAAAAACTAATTTTTTATTACTGCTTATATACCACAACTTGGACACAGGGGCAGATTACTGTAGGATTCCTCAAGCACTAGGATATAGCCTGGTATTTTGTGGGCCCTCAAAAACTCATGGGCTGAAAGACCAAGACAAGTGATGTAAGAGCAATAGCTGACACCAAAGATTTGTCTGAGCAATGCTGGCCTCCATCAGATAGCAAATGGGCACAGGGCTCTGAGCAACTTGGTACAAAGACTGACATCTGAGTAAAGTTCTGGTGGAGCTGGCCCCGACTACTACAATGAAGTACTACTGTTTCCATTAGCTTAGAGTTGAAGGCTCCAGTCCAGCATAATTAATTTTGCTAGGAATTTTGCCTGTGGCCTCAATGGGAGCAAGATTAGTACCTGAGATTTTAACTGCTTCTAAAACCAAGAATGTGCATTATCCAACTGGTGCATGCGATTTATGTGTGTTGGCCATAGTTCACAACAATATATTGCCATCAAACTCCCTGGGTTTCCAAGTTAGGTCTCCCATATAAATCCTAGCCAGCCCCAGCGCTGCTTAGTTGCTGAGACTAGATGAGAACAGGTGCATCTGGTGGACTTGGCCATCCAAATCCTCTGCCTAGGTGTAAAATATACTGATTAGCATCACTCCATTTATAAATCCGTCCATCCTTGGTTTAACATTGGTAACATCCCATTGCTGGCAGTTGGGGCTTGCTCGAGAAGTTGTGGTAATCATAATTCTGATTGCCTGTAGTGATACAGCTCCATCGGGAATTAGCTCACCAAAATCGATTTCCCCACTCCGTCCCTATCAGCAAATGTTTTCTCCAGAAGAGCCAAATCCATATAGTGAGGCACCATCATCAGTAATTGATTCAGCTGTGAGTGGCTTTAAAATGAAGGCAGAGCTTTTAAAGCACAGGATGGCAGAATGAGAGTAGGGCAAAATAGAAAGGAGATGTAATGAGGCCTTTAAAGCGAGCTGCATTGAACGTGTATTGTCTGAAAGCACACGTTTAACCTGAATGTTCCTACAAGAACGTGACAATCTAAAATATCCTGTTATTCCTATCATACTATTCACATATCTGAAAACACTGAGGACCTTATGTTGCTCTGAGGCCAAGAACTTGGGAGGATTGAGGAGGGATTGGATATTTTAAATGGAGACCAAGAATAACTAGGGTTATAATAGTTCCTACAGAAGTGTTGGAAGGGGTAGAAAACCTTATGCTCCAGAGCTTAAGCCTCCATACGTATTAGAAGCTAAGGGGACACTCCCCATGGTGGCCAGATTTCCCCATTATATACCTATGAGAGGGTGTTCTTGTACTTTCCTCCAAAGCCTCTTGTGCTGGCTAGTGTTGAAGATAAGGTGCTGGATGAGGTGGTCTCCTCCACTGACAAATCCTGTGTTCCTATGTTTTGCCTGTTAGCCTATGCCATAAACTGAACCTGAAACATGGTGCAACCAGTTGTCATACTGCTTAAAGACTATTACAACATCCACGTGCTTTCTTATTTCTAAATGTTACCGAGCCACATTGTACTCTCTGTTGTGCATGTATATTTAATTGGCTTCAGTGAGGTTTGTTTGTAGATTCATGTGAAGGCAGTTTGGAATTGTGCCTTTTTACATACACAAGTGTCACTTTAGAAACATTTAATGATAGACCATTAAGGCTTTGTTGTTTTATCTTGGCTTTTGTACCTTTTGCTCAGCTGAGCTGGAAGCAAACCTGAAGTGTGAATGTATATAGTAAAACGTAGTGCAAAAATGTGCAAATCATTGTCCTTAGATCTAACCGTCCCAGCTTGATTCTACAGCTTTTAACACGTGGCACATTAAATTCTGGCTTCACTGAAGTTGGTGGCAAAACTCTTTGACTTCAGTGAAACCACACGGTTCCTACTCAGGAATATTTGACATGGTTTGTATTCATCTTGAGTGATTGAGTGTAAGGAGCCAGATTTTTCTAAATCTCTGCACATGCAATCGTAAACAGATTTTCAGAACAGCTCAGCCTCCTTTTTGGCCTGTAAATTAGGTTTGCAAAAGCGTTCCACTCCCACTGAAGCGAACTTGGTGTCCAGTGGTCATGCAACACGTCATACTGTTTTTAAAATCTGGCCGCTCATTTTGATGCATAAAAGGAATGTAAACTTTTGAACGTTTCCGAGCTTGTTGCCTTTGTAGTAACTGTTATGAACAGGGCAAGGTATTGAATGCGTTGTTGGGTTTTGCTGATCTCTGATTATGGCTTATCATGTATTTTACTACATTTGTATTTTTATTTTTATTTCTAGAAATCTTTCCTGGTCCAGAAGCTACAGAGTTCGTAACTTTTGCTCCAAGCACCAGCACGGCAACATTGTTTTCAACTACAGTGACAAACAGTACATTACCACCACCGACTGTGCAGACTGTATTTCCTATAAGCTCCTCTGACAATAGTACATCTGCTTTTGCAGATGTCTCGTGGACTCAATTTAACATAATTATTTTGACGGTGATTATCATTGTTGTGGTCCTACTAATGGGCTTTGTGGGTGCTGTCTATATGTATCGTGAATATCAAAACAGAAAACTTAATGCTCCTTTTTGGACCATTGAACTAAAGGAGGACAACATCAGTTTTAGCAGCTACCATGACAGTATACCCAATGCTGATGTTTCGGGGTTATTGGAGGATGATGGAAATGAAGTGGCGCCTAATGGACAGCTGACGCTGACAACTCCCATGCATAACTATAAGGCATAAAGGAAGAATTTATCCAGCTATTCCAAAATTAGCTTAAAAAATGACTCTGCTCATTCAAGGAGTATCAGAATCTGTGCCAAGGTTTCAAGCAAAGGAATTTGCTACCCAGATATTTTTTTATGTTGGGCATGGTGTAGCTTGCTGGTGAACAGGAAAGGTGTGCAGTGCATCAGGTTTTCAGGTAACATAATGAATGCATTCAGTGTGTCATTTCCCATGAAGATCCATAGACTTCACTGTTGATAAAGACTTTACATAAAATAACGCCGATCTTAAAATATATTTTTGTATGAAGAGTTGCGGTAGGGCTATAGCAAGCAGAACCCTGTGATTAATCAAAAGTTACTTTGACTTCCAGCCAAGCTAATGCTTATACCTGTGTCCAATATTTTGAAAAGTAGCCTGTGAATGAATGGTGGATTTTCAGGAAATAGACTTTTCTAAAAGCTTCATATTATTTCCTTTATATAAATTTGTTTTAAAGAAAGGGGAAATCTCATTCACTTCACCATAGTACTAAAAGACATTTAAATAAGTAAATGTTACGCACAGTAAAACCGCCCCATTGATTTTTGGGGAGCAGAAAAAAATCAAGTATGAAAATATCTGTTGGGGGAGATAACTCTTTTCCCTTATGTAAGGTGACAATACTATTAAAATACAGGAATCCATTTTTATAGAAGGAGTTAATGAACTTGTATACATATTGTACAAGGGAAGACAACCAGACATCTCAGGGTTGCCCTGTAAAAATACATGCTAGGCTTACTATCTTACCCTGACAGAAATGGTGTGTTCTGTATATAGAATGTAATATAACTTCTTGGCATTGTATCTGTAACTATTTGTAAAAAAAGAAAAGCCATAAGTCATATTTTATCATCTAGATTTTATCTGTACAGCAGTTAGTGGCATTGTAAAAAAAATATGAGGATTGTTTAAAATACTGTAAATTAGATGGCAATATTGCTGGAGCTGGGTCTCTGGCAAACATCCATCGTTTAAAGTTCCTCTTCTGATATCACTGAAATTTTTTTAAGAAGTTGAGTGTTTCCTACTTGTCTCTGCAACTGTCAACCTCCCTGTTCCTTTATCCATGTTGACCCTAGTAAATATCCGGTGATGTCATGAACAGACATCTGAAGGGCCAGTGATCAGGGTTGCTTTGAAGTCTCCCCACAAAATGCAGATGTATCAACAATGTTATTTAAAGACTGATCCTATCAATCAGACTTAACAAGAGCTGTCAGCATTCACAGGAGTAGTTTGATTGGAGTCATGGGCCTACTCGGGCAAGTAAGGACTACTTATGTAATTATGAGTAAAATTGCCAATAGTGCTGCACGTTGGCCTATCTCTGCTTCTCTTGATGACAATAGCAAAATTTCCCTCGTCTTCAGTGGAACCAGGATTTCATGCAAAGTATCTACAGGATCAGGTCCCTGGTTTCAAAATTCTAGATACAATAATAAGTGATGTGGACACTGTCAAGTAATTGATTTCTGAAAGTTCACGTAGCATAAAGTTGTATGCTGGACAAGTGGGGACTACTCATTGTTAAGAAACATACAAGGGATCACTGGTTATGCAGAATCCTACCATTTTTATATAGAGGCAGACTGGCTTTTAACAAGGGGAGTACAAGTTAATGAGCACTCTGTCTTTGTCAAATGGAAAGAGCTGTATGGCAAGGTTGCCTTGTTGTTCCTCCACTCTGAGGTATAGGTCTGAATGCAGGGTGCAGCGTGGCTGCTTGAATGTACACCGACATAGCACCTAGGAAGACTGCTGACTGTAGCAGGCTGAGTACAGGTTGGAACATCCAAAAGCATGTGCAGTCCTTGTACAGCTCTGTTTCCTAACATCTGGGAGAAGGCAGTGCTATACCAGGTGCAAAGAACATTAGACCTTCACTGGGGCATTTTGTTTGCACCTGTACAGTGCAATAAAACAGTGCTGTGGAGAACTTCAGCTCTGCCCTTGCCTTTTTTCAGTGCTGCCATTTGGCATGTAATCTTTATTAGGTGCCAGATCCAGTCTGTTTGCTTTATTCCTTTCACTGCACTGAGTGTGTCTTTGCACCCAATCCAGTTCCCATTGAAGCCAGTGGAAAGCCTCCTGAAATCCTCCTGCTGACTTCAGTGAGGTTGAATCAAACCTTTTGTTTGATCTCTTCTGAGCAGGGCAATTAGTTCCTGTCTTGTGTGTTAATTAAGTGAACTTCTGGTAACCTCGGGGATAAAGTCTGTAATGCAGCCATGCCAGTGCTTTGCCGGTTCATTATAACTCCAGTGATAAACAAGGAAGTTAGCAAAGCAGAGCAATAGCTGCATCAATAAAAAACAAAGGCAGAAATAAATATTTCTTATGTGACAGGAGGGAAAAGTACTGTAGAAAGATATTATTTATTTGCATTCCAGAAGTACTGGGAGGCCTCACTCTGGCTTGGGAATGGCATTCTGCTAGGTGCTGTACATAGTTATAATAATAATATGCAGTCCCTGTATCAAAGAGCTTATCTTCTAATTTAAGAAGATGTGATGGACTGTGTATGGACCTCAGCCAGAGGCAATGAAGCCAATGAAAAGAGGTACATTGCCTGCATTGAACTTGAGGTCAGTTCTCAAGTCTGCAGTTGACTGGATTCAAGTCATTCAAAAAGATTTGAGTTTTAGTCGGAAAATAGAAAAAGAAAGAAAATCTGGATATTAGCAAGCCTTTATCATACAACAGGCTTTAAAGGTCAGTTTTTATTAAAGTAGAGAAAATAGTATAATCTGGACATAATTACGTGACAGTGCTAATTTTTATAAGTGTATTCCCTGGTGTTTATGCACACTGGGAAGAGATGACTTTTCATAAGAGATTTCAGTGACTGTGTGTTAGCATCTGGGCCTAGTTCTCTAGAGCAATAAAAGCAACAGGCAAAGTGAAGGAAAGATTGTCTACTTGAGCATGTCAGAATTATTTTCTTCTTTTATTTGTGGGGTTGAGGTGAATTAGCAGATATATTCTTTGAAAGAAAACATTTCTTCATGGATCCTTGGAAAGTCTGCAGGCTATCTAATATAACAGGGTTTGGCCAGTTTAATTTGGACTTCAGGTCCTGGCTTTTTTGATTCTCTTACATTACAGAGTCTGTGACCAGTTGCAGGATTTGGTTTTGAGTTCAGTTGCTGAGCTCCCTTTGATATTGGCCCCATTGTAGCTGAAAAAATAAACATGAAAAATAATATTCAAGCACTGAATATTAGCCCAGCTCTGAAGTGGTGAAGATGTCAGTCTGTTTTACACATTGTCATACAACAGTATGATTCTGTGGGTATTTTGCTGACAGCAAATGGTTCTGGACAGAGAGGTCTAGGAGACCATCCTGTGGGTCTGACATGAAGCCCACAGAAATTAATTTAAGTCTCTTCTTTGGGCTTTAGTTGCATAGCTTTTTAAAACTCGACTGACCTGTTTTGGAGAAACTCTGATGTATGGTATGCTTTGTTTGGACACTAACTTCTGATTAGCAGAGAATGAAAACATCAGAGGGATGCAAGGGATGGTGCATCTAATGCGACAAAACGATTCAGAAGAAGAAACAAAATCAGTTGCACCCAGTTGGGTCTCTTGTTTAGAGAAATAAGATTCAACAGAAACTTTCCAGCTTTGTGTTCAACCTCATCCTATGATCCACTAGTGTGAAACCTGACTCTCTTCCCTCCAACACCCACATAGCCATCTACCTGAGCACCTGTACAATAGAAGGAAGAAGCTAAGTGAGATCCATCTCTCAGCCAGGTTGGACTGCACCTTGTTGTAGTTCATTGCCAGAGAATTCTTATGGGCAAGTATGTCATCCTACCAAAGACCTTGCTTTTTCCAGCAGGACTCCTTCTACATTCAGTTGCTTGTATTATAACTTGCCATCAAACTTCTGTAATGTTGAGGTTTGCCCACTGGCAGGTTTGAGAATGAGAATGACCAGTTAAATAGGATGTAGACTGCAGAGGTTCATCGGGCCCAATGCAGAAAATCATCAGGTCAGAGAAGGGGTGTCAGGCTGAGGAGTCAGGACTGTTGCACATACATTGGTGGGGTCCATCACGCGTCACTTCCCAGCAGACAAGTAGTAAATCAGTCTTGCAGGACAACGGTCGTTGGTTTTGGGCAAGAAAGTGGGTGGCATGGTGCAGTAGCTGTGTGTCCATGGAGTAGCTGGAGTAATAGGGGGACATGGCAGTCCAGAGAAGTATGACGGTGAGACACTTATGGCTTTCGCTCCTACTGGCCATAATCTCAAACCCATGCTGTGGGAAGGTGAGAGCCATGTTGCCACATAGCCTAGCTGGTCTGGGTGAAGCAAATGAAATCCTGTAGTAAAACACTTGAAGACAAAAGCCCTCATGTCAGGGGATGGATAAAAAGCTGCAATCAACCATGTATAAAATGAACAGGGGCAGCCTGGCTGGGTCAGAAGCTAGGGATGTTACTCTACAAGCACAGGATGCACCAAATGTGCAAAAGTATAATCAGCTAATGTGAATACAAGGTCTGAACTCTTACCAAATCACCATAGCTAGAAAAAAAAAAGCATGATGTTTTAGCCTTGGGGACTGTCATGAAAAGTCATTTATTGAAACAGTCATTCTCTTGGACCAGGCAAAACGCACTCAGGCCAGCAGAAACCATTTATGAGCCTGGATGGCATGTTTTCAGCATTCTACTGCATTTTGGGCCAGTTGATCCCTTGTTGTACAGCATTTTTATTCCAAATATTACATGCAATATAAATGATGCAATATGTGGCAGAAAATCTGTACAGCTTCCTTTTAAAAACAAGAACTGAAGAATGAAGCCTAAAACATTTTTAAAAATAAAATTGTAAAATTAGCTCTCAAGGGACTCTGCTATTTAGGTGTCAGATGGAATTTTAATAAGGAAAATGTGGGCCTAAAACATTTAACATCATGCTTGCTCCCAACTAAAACTCATCAGCCTTATCACACATCCCAATAAGGTGTTTCTTACGCATATGCTAAGCTTACAAATGCATTTCTAAAAAAAGTGTATGATTTGAATATATGTCAGAATTTATACAGAAGAATGTTATTTAAAAATGAATAAATGTATATAATTTGTACCTATGCTGCTAGTGTTTTTGCTTTGGTTTTTGTCCATTTAAGTCAAATGGGATTCTTTCCATTTACTTCACTCAGAGCTGCGTTGGCCAGAGGAGGGAGGACTTATTCCATTTAGGTCAATAGAGTTCTTCCTGCTCTACACCAGTCTACGAGGTGAAATCATTGTGGCCCTAAAACTGTTTGTTAATATCATTTGCTAACACATCTGCTATTTTATGCCAGATAACCACTTGAAAAATCAAGCCATGAGAAATCTTTTGAACACCTAGTATTAACTATCCTGGGCTTCTAGCTAATTTTGTTCACATATGCTTGCTTTTCAATTCAGTGGCACTGTCTACCTGAGATGCTACTTCCCAGTAGCAGGGGGGCACTAATTGTGATGCGTGATGCTACTGCGCAGTAGCATCAAAAAACTGTGCAGGGACGCTACTACACAGTAACTCCAGTTACTGCACAGTCATTAAGTACTTGGTTACGCAAATACTAAAAGACTGTGCAGTAACAACTGTGCAGTCTGTTGCTTGTATACACATGGCCAGTGTCAATAAATTTGTTCTACTAGAGTGATATAATATGTATACAGGTTTATTTTGGCTTAGAAAGTACCAAGTCTTATAAAAAAAAAAAAAAATGAGAACAACAGGAACAAGACTAGAAATTAGCAAAGAGCAATTTTATCATGTTCTTCCACATCCTCGTTATGATCGACAAAGGAAATTTGAGGGGATCAAGTTCTCTGTAATCTACAATTGAGGCTTTGTTCATTTTAGAGTAGGTGTTTATATGTGCAAAAGAAACCTTCAGATCTTTGCCTCTAGAACCCTAACCTTTCTTTCTTGTCAGTGTTAGGAAATCAAGCCCTTTTTCCCATACAAAAGTAAATAAATGATAACACTTGTCTTTGTCATTGAAAGTTACCTTCAGCTCCTACTGTCCAGTTCTATGAAGCCTTTATGCAAAGGGGTGGGATGATAGGAATTAAGCAGGTTCTTAAAATCAGGCACAAGTTTAAGTGTCTTACTGACCTGGGGCTTATGTAATGGAGGGCCTGAGTCTCTCTATCTCAGTTGTCATCCTAGTCTTCCATGTAGGAGTAGGACAGATAATAGAGTTTTTCAATACAAATTGCTGGTACAAGGATTTAGTATAATCTCCTAACATGCACTGCTAATTAAGATAAGGCTAAACAATGCTAATCTGATTAGCGGAGGGCAAGTTGTTAACTACTTCAAAATGATAATTTTTTTCCCCCTTTACAACTCCATGGTGTTACTGCAGATTTTGTAATGCAGACATCCCAGTTACCATCATAGCTCTTATTGATCCATTTGATGGAATGCATCTTTTTGTTTGATCCAAAGGGGTTATCTCATTGTAAGACACAAATCCACCTCCATTTAGGGCAGTGCCTTTCTTAACAGTGGGCCTGCTGATTTCAGTTCAATAGCAGGGGACACAGCATGTGTCAAGAGATGTTGCAGGGCATATGCTATACTGGCTTATATCATTTAGGTAGTAAATGTTCTGCCTAGTGGCTGACTGTCACCATGTCAAATACTGTATACGGTAGTTCGTTATTGTTTATGAACAACTGGGTCATGTTGGGCATTGAGATGAATGTCACTCTCTGTGACTGATCACCTTAAAGAAGAAGAGAAACAATTTCAAACTAGACCGGGCTGATTAGTCTGGCTACCATTTAGCAGACGCAGTTTTAAAACTACCAATCAGTCCAGAAAGACTGAGACAATCAGTTCCCGTCAATACCATAAACTCTCACTAAGACTCAGACTCCAGTTGCATAGCCTTAGAAATTTCCAGAGTGATAAGGTGATAACAATAGGCAGGTTCACATACTGGTACTGATCCGAAGCCAATGCATTGAGGAGGTAAGCATCTTCTTGACACTGTCCAGATGGTTATGGTGAATAAGTGTAATCCAGCACTACAAACATAGGGGAGAAAATATTCTAATAAACAGACACGGGCTGATCCTGTAGACTTGACTTAGACAGCCATGTCTCAGAAAATAGGGTACACTGGTATCTTAGAAACAAACTAGAGATGCATAAGCTTTCATAAGCAGTAGCTGGCTTCATCAGATACTGAAATCATCTCTGTCCTTACGCTATAGGTAATACTGCAGATTATTAAACTGAAAGTATTCATTTTTTCATTGTTGACACCTGGGGGGACTCCTGCCCTGTTCCTTTATTTAGTTGGGATGATAGAAGTAGAGTCGTCAGCTTTCGCTATATGATCAGTCAAGCTAGTGGTGCAATATTTAGATGGCAAACACTGCAGGAGAATGTTTAAATCCTACCAAAAAGATTCAACTAATTCATTAAAACTATAAAAGCATGTTAACCAAGTTTTGAAAAGCTTATGGAAGAATAACATAATCCAGCCTTGGGATCCAAAGTACCTGTTCTGCACAATATCAGCTGAAATAGTCAAGAGAGGTGTTGACAAATGAAAGCAACTGGCATACAGTAACATAGTCCTGCCTATATTGTAATAGAAGACAGGAATCCTCGGACACATTAGGTCTCCAATAGAGATAACAAATATGGTTTACTGTTATGTAAACATTACTAATAAGGGTAGGACCAAGATGAGAGAAGGGATTGTCCAGCAGGTAGGATGCCAGTCTGGGCTTTAGAGTAACTGCATTCTCCTAAGGTCTGCCCCAGACTCTTTGAGGGACCCTGGACAAACACACTGCATCCATGTTGTGAGCATAAACTTGTTAAAGACTGAAGCATTCACTTAGCGGTGTAACAATGTGGCCAGGTGCCTGGGGCATCTGCCACACACAGGGGTAGTGGTGACTTCTGGTCATTGCTGCTGCTGGTGTGATTGTGTGGCTGCTGTGACAGCTATTTTTTTCTGCCCCTCCTGCACTCCAGCCCCACCCCGTCAGTGCCAGGGGTGGCTGTTTCAGTTGCACTCCTCCAGACGCCACTTTTGTTTACTATGAAGATGAGGGCTACATAAGTGCCTTAGACAGAAGTTTCCCCTGGACTTAATCTTGAAAAATTCAACCACCAGCTCTGAATTCTAGAGATTAAATGTCAAACCAAACTGTAAGATGTGAGCGTGTGTCAGTGACTAACTCGCAAATCACACAGCATGGCTGTCAGCGTTGTTCTTAACGAAGGAAAAAATGAATCAGGCATACATAGCGCATTTCACGCTGTTTAAATGGAAATATTGTATGGGGTTAGAATAAAATCAAGTTTGGGATACTACCCTTGTACAAGCTGATACAAATACCATTCAATGATGAAATTAAATATAACGTTAAAATATGGCATTTCATAATGGATTGTCACTTTATTTTTAAGATAAAATGATCCATTTGCAGAAATGTAGCGTGGATGTTTCTGGAGTGGATCATCTTAAAAACAGGCTTTTACCTGAATACAGTTGAAGAGTATATATTTCCTAGCTGCTTGTAAGCAGCAGTAATGGAAATTTCATGCACATATTGAGGAAAGAACACCCCTAGGGCGATAAAACTCAATCTAACAATGCACTGTATGGCTAAGTATACTACTCTGGCAAAATACCAATTCTTTTGTAGCTTTCATTTTGGCACTGGGCAAGCTTATGTATTTAATAAACTTATTTCAGGTGGTATTTTCAAGGGTGATTTGTCATGATGGACAGGATTCTTGGTTTTAGATCCATGAATTATACATTTTGCTTTTAAAATAACAAGAAACTTAAGTTGTGAGACTAATTCTATCCATCATACCTGCTTACCTACCTATTTATCGTAAACACATATTCCAGATCACTAGTACTTGAGCACCTGCTGTTACACATTTTATTTGAGCAGACAATAGACTCTCTCACAGGCTCCCAAGCAGAGATGAAGTAGTGTTAGAGCAGGGAAAAGGCTCCCCATGGCTTCATGCTATTTGCATTCATTCCCTTCCAAACCCACCGTGCTGTATTTCAAGGAAGTCAAAGGACAGGCTCTAATTCTTCTACTTTTGTTGGCAGGCTCTATTTGACATGCACGCAGGTCTGCATAAGCTTGATCCCACAGTTAAATGCATGGGTTAGTGCAATGTGGATGGCCATGCCCGTAACCCAAGGAAGATGCAGTGTGCCCAGATGAACCGATACAGCTGGGCTGTGGGTGGGAGCTGGGGCTCTGCTTGTCAATGGTGCTGTCCCACACCCCACCAATTCCATTCACTTCTGCCGATCTTGGGGCTCGAGGTCTCTGAAAGTCAGGCCCTGTGCCGCCCACTCCTAGAAGCAGGAATTCACCCAACAGTCTCAAAAAATGGCCAGCTGTTGCTAATGTGGCCACCATTCCCAAACCCAGGGCTGGCCAATCTGCCACATTTATGCCACAGGTGGCAGAGGCAGCCCATGTGCATAGCACCTGGCTAGGAACTGCCAGCCCTGGACTCTCCAGGATTGAGCTATAATCTCCAGGAGACGGCTGTGAGTCATCCAGGAGATAAATGATAGGGCATTCATTAAAATAAATATTAAATGACGAATCCAATTTATACTGCAGGCCCATGGGTTTTTACAGTTTTAAAATGTAAGAGTAACATACGTTTGCCTTCCTGAGTGCAGTAGATCAGTCATTCATGTCACTGCATCGTGTGATGAAACCTCCTGGAACAGATTCAGACAGAGCTGGAAACCCTGCACCCGGCAGATGGAAAGGGAGCAGAAAGCAGAGCAGCAGATCAGGAAGGGCCAGCGGAGAAGGAAACAGCAGAGCAGCAGATCGGGAAGGGCAGACAGGGAAGGAAGCAGAAAGCAGAGCAGCAGATCAGGCAGAGAAAGGAAAGGGAGTGACATTGGGGGGACAGCGTGGGGCAAGTGGTAGCCCTGGTGACCTAGAGGATCCCTGAGGGCACTGCCTGGTGATTTGACACAGCTGCCTAATCATATCCACTTTATCCCCAGAGGCCCCCAAAGTGCCTTATACCCTCTCCCCACACTGTGCACCACGGGGCCCTAAATAAAGACGGCATCGCCCACACACGTTTCCCTGTCCTAACGACGCAACACCGTGCCCTTAGTAAAGATGGCACCTCCTTAACCAGCTTCTATTGCAAACTCACGGCTGCTCAGGCTCCCCCGACCTTCCTTCCCTCACTCAAGATGGCGGCTGCCCACACTCAACTCCTACCCCGCTCTCAGCCCAGTTGGCATTCTCCACCCCCGTCTGCCCTCAGTTAAGAGGGCGTCCTCGCCCGCTTCCGCAGGCGGTTCCCTCAGCAAAGATGGCGGCTTCCCCTATAGATGCCTATGGTGCCCGGGCGCCAGGCCCTCCCGGGGCGGCTTCAACGGCTTCACGGTCAGGGCCACAAGATGGCGGAAGCGGTTGCAGCCGTTTGAATTCCAGTGGAGCCGCCAAACTCGCACAATAACCACCGGGCACGGCCGCCGCCATGGACTCGCTGCCGGGGGAGGACCCTACGCTGCCCCTGGACTTGGGCGGCAGGTAGGAGCTTAACTGCGGTGTTACTCCCTCATCCCCTTGTGGCGCCGCGTCTCGCCGCCCGCGCTGACCCGTGTCTCTTTCTCCCTCAGCGTCAACGTGGCCGACCTGCCCGACGTGCCCGGGGATGCAGCCCGACCCGGCCCGGCCGGCAGCGCAGGTGAGCGGGGGCTGCCCGGACACCGCCGGGAAAAATTGCCGCGCTTCCCGCGGGCCCGCCCTGCCGCACACACGTTCACTTGACGAGCGATAGAAACCCGCCCCGGCGCGGGCGCTTTGTGCGTGAGCCCCAGCTCTGCTGCGGGTCGGCTCTTCTTTTTAAAACTGGATCCTCAACTGTTTTTTCATCTCCTGCCACAGTGACTTTGTGTGGGTGGTGGGGGTGCGTTTATGGCAGATACTTTGCATGGGTGACTGGTTTATTGCGCGGTTCACCAGTAATTTGCGCGATGGCGCCTTTGCGCGTTGCATGTATTGCACGATTCGCCCATAAGCGATGCCGTGGTTACTTTGCACAGGAGGCTGGGGTACATCGATGGCACAGTTCGATTGTGTGATGGTTTCTTTGCGCAGGTGGCTGGCGCGCATTTATTGCGCGGTTTGCCAGTGAATCGTGTGATGATTACTTTGTATGGGAGGCGGGGGCACATTTATGGCACGGTTTGCCAGTCAGTTAGTTGTACGATTACTTTGCGTGGATGGCTGGTCTACATTTATTGCGCAATTCAGCAGTGATTTGTGTAATAGTCTCTTTGCATGGGTGGCCAGTGTACATGGATTGCACAGTTCATCAGTGAATTTCACAATAATTACTTTGCACGCGTGGTTGGTGTACATGTTATAGTATGTTTGTGTTTCACCAGTGAATTGCATGGTGATTGGTTTGCATGGCAACTGGTATACATTTATAGCGTGTTTCACCAGTGAATTGTGTGGTAATAGCTTTGCATAGGTGACTGGTATACACTTATAATGCGTTCCACCAGTGAATTCCACGGAAATTACTTGCATTCTTGGCCACTGTATGCTTATAATGCATTTCATCAGTGGTTTGGGCAATATAGGCAATGTGTAGCAGGGGTTTAACATCCATAGCTGACAGCTGATTTTTTCTTTTTCCTCTAAATTGCAACCTGTTTCCCTGCTCTGTTGAAACCCAAACCTGGGGAGACTTTGACAGTGAAACTTGCCCACCGACCGGAATGCCACTGAATGCATTAGCCTAGCGGGGAGGAAAGGCACAAGCTTAATGAAGCACCTGGATGCTCACGAGTTAGAGGGTTTTTACATTGTTTCCTCGGCAAAGAAATCTCTTTATGGTGCACAAATGTGTTTGCCTACTTCTTTGGCCTGCCCCAGTGGCTGGAAAGCAGCAGAGAAGACGTGCTATTTCTGTAACAATTTGGGAGCCTTCTTAAATCCAGCCTGCTCTCTGTTATCAGCAGAAGTTATGGACCTTGTGGAAAACCACAGCCAGTGGCAAAGAACTGTCACTCAGATTACAAGGCACTACCTGCCAAGCAGATAACATGATGATGATTGTCCCTTTTTTAAAAATCCAGAAAACCTTCTAAACTCAAGCTACTCCTGCAGATACTAGTATTAGTCCAAAACATTTATGTTTCTGTTGCCATTAAGATCCTGAGGACCAGGCTCTGAACTGCTTGGTCTAACTAGCACTATTGATGGTTCACTCTTGGTATTTTTTTACTTAGAAAAATGGCATTAAACTTTCATGCAGGGCTTTCCAGCTGCAGCCTAGTTAAGTTTTGTTTTCTGTTGTGGTGGCTGAGTCAGCACCTGCTACAGGTTTCTTTCTAAAGGGAAAAGAAAGTCTTTCCATAAAGTTTTACTGACCTGTATTGATCAAGGACAATAACTTATCATCTTTAGCTTTATTGTGACCTTGTGGTGGCTGTATTGTTCGTCTTATTGCAGGTTTTAGAGAAAATATAGCCTGATACATCCATTTTGCTTCAAAAGCAATGTATCCTATTATTTTGTGAAGTGCTGTTTGCACAGTTATAATAGTCTTGTGCGTCTTGGACCGTATTTCTGGTCCATGCGATTTGGAGGCTAGTCTGGGTGCTATGTATTTGTGCAGTTAGCTAAAGTGTATTGTAGATGGAGTTTCAAACAACTACTGCTGCTCAATTTTTAAAGCAATTTATGTATACTTATCCTGGGAGCATTTTAAGGTTATGAAACAAAAATACTTTCTGAAAAACATGCTTGAATGACAATATAGCTGTGGCTGTATTCTCTTAGTTGTTCTAAGAATGATGTCTCATCAGATTAATCACAACTTCAGGATTTTAAGATCTCAAAAGTGAGCATTCCCAGGGGTTTTTTGGACTGTGTTGTGCATATAGAACGGTATATGTAGAATTATTCCAAGTTGGAAGATACTTATTTTTTCCCTTAGTAGCTACAAGGCTGAATGTAGGACCTCAGTCCTTTCGATGGTCTCTGAGTTCTACCTTTTTTCCTTGGGTTTGTTTATTTTGAGATGTTACGTTTTGTGTGTTTGTTTTGATTTGTTTTAAGCATTTATCTAGAACTAATCCCCCCTGGCCCAATGTGTTGTTTTGAAGATTTTATTCAGAAAAACCTTGGGTGCAAATGCTGCACTTTGTCATAAAAATGACTTGCAGAATTGGCTACGTGGAAATGGCACATTTTTTAGTAGCGAATTACCCATAGACAAACAATGGGTATTTCTTTGCTTCATCTTCCAGCCTGCAGATGTTGCGCTGGTGAATCCCCTTGGCATCTGCTGCTTTGAATGGGTGTTACAGGTGTAATTGGGACTTCTGGCCCAGGGGTGTGCATAGGTAAGCTAATGCAACCAAAACTTAGCTATCCAGATGAAATGGATTAATGCATAATGTAAAAAATGGTCATAAAGATATAATTGTGTTTAGCTTAGTGCTTTTATTGCATTTATATGATTATACTAATCCTTAGCTTTCACCAGTTAAAAGCAGAACTTTTAATTCCTTCGGTGTCTTAATTTATTTTAATTTACTTCCCCAATGTCTAGTGTTACCAGACATGGCGGAAGATGCAGTTTCACCAACCAGGGCTCGGACCATGAAGGATTATGAAAATGTAAGTGCAAATGTGTTATAAAATCAATAACAAAATTGATTATCCAAGTTCTGTGCAGTATGTTACGTAATTGAGTACTGATAATACGTGGATGTATAGTAATACCACAGGGATGCATAAATTAATTCACAGTGGTTGAAGTGCTGACTTTCTGGGTCAGATTCTCACTCTGTTCTCACTCAATCAGCGCATCTGTTTTGAATTTCGTGATCCATCTGGGGATCTGGCTATTTGTTTTTAGTACCTACTCTTTCAAGTACTTCTTTCAAGGCTGAAGCAAGATCCTCTTACTGAGGTTAGCAAATTGCCCACCTGAGTTGTGGAATAGCAGTAAGCATCCCAAATTCCATCTAAAGACTTTTATTCCTACATGTCTGTTCCACAGTCCACAAGGTGCTTGTCTGACTTAATTTAGGAATTTTGTGTATCAATTTTGTGACCTTATCTTGAACCAGGGTAGTGTCAAGATTCAGTTTTTATTTTTAATTCTTTGAATTCCATATCCAGATCTTCAGGTATCCAGGCTGTAACCATATTGGTCTAGAGGCAAAAGGAATTGGAACTCTTGGTAAAGGTGATAAATCTTTTATTAGACCAACTAGATTTTTGCAAAATTAAAAAATTATGAAATAAAGAAAAAAAATTAAAGATTCTCCCCCCCCCCCCAATCTAGTTGGTTTAATAAAAGCTATCACCATGAGTTCTGATATCAATATCTTCACATCTTCATGGTACAAACATACTTGGCTAGAAAGTCTGAAGGGAGAAAAATGCCTTTGACTTAATGGGATGATGCTGTCTTGATTTGTATTCAGGGCTGACCCTAGGGAGGTGTGGGGCCCAGGGCAAATTAGCCTGTGCAGGGGTCCCTTAACACCGCACAGGGCCCATAGGACCCTGCAAAGGCAGAGTATGGGAAGGGATCTCCCCTGTGCCTGGGTGGTGGAGGGGGGAGGTGGTCTCTGTACTTCTTCTGCAGCATGGGGCAGAGCCGCCAGCACCAGGTGGGCCCCGTGGGAGGGGCCATGGCCACTCTGCCTTGCTCCGCAGGGTCCCCCAAAGCGTGGGGCCCAGGGCGGTCACCCTAATTCACCATACCCTAAGGACGGCCCCGATTGCATCACAGCTTATAAATAGAATTGTACTGATAGAATCAGCCTAGAGTGCACGGTTTCATAGTTTCTAGGGTCGAAAGGGACCTGAGCAGATCATCTAGTCCGACCCCCTGCCATGGCAGGAAAGAGTACTGGGGTCAAATGACCCCCGCAAGGTGTTCATCTAACCTCCTCTTAAAACCCCCCCAGGGTAGGAGCCTGCACCACTTCTCTTGGAAGTTGGTTCCAGACCCTAGCCGCCCTGACCGTGAAGTAGC